AGCTCTACGCCTGCTGAAGACACAGACGTCCATCCCCGTGAACACTGGGACGGAACTCAATGGGAAAGTAAATGATTCTTATTTCAACCGTTGCGTATATTAGCTGCAACATATGAATCAAGATGCTATGACCGAAAAAAATTGGATTGACAGATGACCGTTGATATATGATTGGCCAAATTTAGGTGTACAAGCTGACGTATAACTAACTGGCCTGCATAAGATAACGGCAAAAAAAACACAGATTTAAACGACAGGATTTTTTTAGAAAGAGACATTTTCCAAATATTGCAACAATGTCGTCTGATAAAGAGCACATTTATATACATGTTTAAGCCAGAATGGTTTCACATTTAAATATAATTTCCCTATGACTTTAAGTGAGCCCCAGTGTAAGTTTAAGGCATATTTTAGTCTCTATACTCTAGTTAACGATTACTGAGTGAGTGAACTCAGTTCAGGTCTGAATTCATTCAGAATATATGACACGCAACCTGAGCAAATATGTTTACTAAGGTTTTCCTATTTTGAAAAAAATAGGAGGCAAATGTCTGCAGATAAGACTGCAAAACAAATTTTCATTAATAGTTATGGCGGGTAGTACTAAAGACATTTATATTCCGCTTATATCCACCAACGCAGTGGCAGAGAACCAGGCAATTTCCTATGGAATAACACTGCAGCTGTTCTGCTGCATTCACTGAATCCAAACAAAGATGGGGAAACAAGACGATGGCAAATCAGAAATGCTTCTTTTCCCCTTCCCTTCTATAGCGGCTTAATATCAGTAAGATAAAATGACTCTTCCTGCAGTGAAAAGTATCTTTTCTGCATATCCCAGTGATATTCAAAGGAAGCTCAGGCCGTCACTTTCCACCAAAAACCAGTAAACTAACAGGCTCCCTAAATGCCTGAGTGAGCTGCATATCTAATGACTAACAGAGTGACTTATTAAGCGGGCTGAACTCCAAACTGGACCTGTCGTCATACCTCTAATCGACAGCCGTACGAAGTCACGTATCCCACTAGTTGCATTTATACAAATATACTTACACAAACACACAATCCACTGGCTGCAGTAATTAGTTATGCTCCCAGAGGAATGTTGACCAAATGGCTCATATCCCTCTGCTGCCCTTCCCCCGTCTGCAGGGCCGTGCACGCCCGCGCAGACTCTTCTAAGCATCCTGAGAGGGCAACTGCCATTCTCACACATGTGCACCCCCCCCAAATAAAGAGAGGGCATACCCACTCAAGCAAAGACCCACTCTTTAAAAACACTTAATGCTTAATCTTTAAAGGACACAAATCGGTATTTTTAAATGGTAGTTGGTTAAAAAAAAAAGAAAATGAATGGATTCTGGGCTGCTGCCCCACAGAAAGACGGGGGATGTTTCAGGATGGATCAGAAAGAGCAAAAGGGTAAAAAAATAATAATAAATAATAAAAAAAATCTCATTGGGACGGGGAAAGGAAAGTGCTGTTGCTGTTAAATGGAAAAAAAAAAATAACTGTGTTGCCTAGTGGTTAGAGGGGTGCGTTTGTGCTCTGAGAAGGTTGCAAGTACCCGGTTCAATCCCCACAGCCTCAACTCTGGGTCCCTGAGCAAGACCCTTAACCCCCACACTGCTCCCTGGGTGCTGCACAATGGCAGCCCATTGCTCCGCAAGGAGATGGGTCAAATGCAGAGTTAAATTTGTCCAATGTGAGGTCAATAAAGTTCAATTATTATTATCATTATTAGAATTTCTCTCGATGCAGGTGAGGTAAATACTAGTCTGCTGTCATTTGGTTTGATGCATATCAGTAATCTCCAGTATTTGTTTTTGCAACATCGATAACCTCATTTCATTATTTGCTCCACAGCAAATTCCCCAAAAACGTCCCGGAGAGGCTTTAACCTGTTGGATTCACTGCTGATAACCTTTCATCATCACACGTCATCACACCGATAACAAAATACATACATACCAACATATACATATAAGAGAGTTTCTCTACATTGAACAATGACAAAAGATACAATAAAAAAGGCTGGTGGTGGCTGCATCATGCTGCGGGGATAGGACTGGCTAGAAATGTGGATTTTGGGCAGAGTTGCTGTGAAAGAACAGGGAGAAAATCCCGATAGTCAAAGTTCAGACCTGAAACTGATTAAGCAGTTTAACGGGTCTTATAACACAGTTTCAAAGCACTATCTGGATACAACATTTAGCAGAATATCATGGTTTAAATCTCAAAATTTGAACACTTGATAGCTAAAAAACAGCACTGAGGAAACTGAGATTAAGGGAAAAAAACTCCTAAAAACATGAGTGAAACATAATCCATGCCATCCCACTGATTTTCAGCAACACTTTTACAATTCTAAAGGTTGTAATTCAGAAATGCAGCAAAGGTTTGTAGAGGTGTAGACTCTGGGAAGCTGAACAGATACCTTGCAGGTATAAATACCTTTCCAAAACCCTGTTTCAATACTACAACTAACTGCTAACACATTGAAATCATCTTAATCTCTTTTGATAATCTGCAAACACTCCCTCGCAGCAGTTTGGCAGATCTGCATTAAAAACAAAGACATTAAGGGGCAGATCTCCTGACAAGAGTCGTCTCCGTGTCTCTGTTGATTCACCAATATGCCCTCCAGCGTTCTGGCATTGTGTCTGCTGGTGCCTGAACGGGCCCAGTGTGTTGTCTGCCAATCAAATCAACAAACACCAGTTGATCTGAGCCAACTCCAAGCCTGGGAGCGGCCAATCAGACCGAGGCATCTGGCAACACGAGACGATATACGTCAAGCTCAAAGATGCTGATGTTATCTAATTAGATAAATCTGCTCTTATTGAGTTTGAATGGATGAAGTTTTCTGGATTTTTTTGTAGTCAGAAAGCTGTGAGCACACACACAATAAGATGAAAGAGAAAAGTAAGGATAAAGAAACTTCAAGCCTTTTGGTCATTTCTGCTTAAGTGTGTAAAGGTGAACCTAAGGGGCTCACAATTAACCGTCCTGGTGAAGGTCTTATGCTTTTCTGGATGCTGTTTTTGACTTTGATGAGATGATGGAAAGCCGAAGGCTTTCCCACAACCTGATAACTTCCAAACAAACATCTTTGCTCCGTGCCCGGCGACCCATTGCCTCCCGAGTGGAACACTCTGCACCGATTGTAACACAAAGTCTGATTTTTATCTCCTTCAGCGCTCACATTTTCCCAGGGGCCGCGTTTGTGTGTGCGACACCGATGCCTGTGAGCGGGTTGTTTCCAGATGACTGAGCCAGGCTTTTCCATTCCCTGCTGCAGTGGGTTCTGGACGTGCACCGGCCAACATTTACGCCAACCAGCTGCAGCTGCTGGTGCAAGACCTCAAGAAAGCAGCAGAGGTAAAGACAGCTCAGGCTAACTATTTAATACTTTGTAATTCAAAGACACGCTCCTTGTGTTTATTTGAGCCTCCTCATGAAGCAAAGAGGAAGCTTCACCTAACTCCCTCTACTTTTCAAAGCCATGTTAAAAGCAAGAAATAAGCTACGGATGCCCTCATTAGAAAATCCGCTTCAGGATTCCCACATCCAGCCCCCGCTCACATCATTCCTGGCTTCTATGAAGTGGTCTGAGCCGTCTGTCAGCAGGCGGTGGCGGTTTTGCTTTGAATTGAAAGAAGCACCATGGACAGAAACAACGTCCCCTCTCCTCTGGGAACTCCCTGGAGGAGGGAGCCCTTTTATTAAGGGGCCCCAAAAGGGCCATAATTCAGTCAATAGATAAACAAATGGACATTTAGCAAATTAAACGTGATGCTTGCAGAGGAAACAATTTGCAAGTATATGAATAAATGCGTCATAGATGGAGATATTGTAGCACATTATTCAGCCATCTATGACTGCGTTCACACTGCAGGCCTTGATGCTCAATTCCGATTTTTTTGCATTGATGTACACATATTCGAATATGTGCGACTTGTATGTGATCTCCTGTTTGAACTGCATTCATACGACCTTATTGTCCCGCATGCGTCACAATGGCGTCACAAGCAAGCGTGCTTCGTGTTTACGGAAGTAAACATGGATGGTGGTGCTGGAGAACATCTAGCGATCTTTCCCAACCTTAAAAACGTAATCATTCCAAGATGGTTAAACATAAATACTACTCCCCGCTTTATCGTCCATCATTGTTGTTGTTTTTCTTGACACTTCTATGTAGCAAAAAGAAGAAGAGTGACCTTTGCCAGGTATTAATGGCATCAGGTCGGATGGATGCGACCTGGCCGTTCAGACAAAGGTTGCATTTGAAAAGATCAGATTGGTATCGGATTCAGGACCACATAGCCATGCGGCCTGGGTCGCATTGGAAAAATCGGATCGATGTTGTTCAGACTGCCATGAAAAGATCCGATCCAGGTCGCATATCGGAATCGGATTCAGGTCACGTCAGGCTGTGGTGTGGACATAGCCTATCACAGCCAGTGGGCGGGCTTTACACTACCCTGACCTGTGAAAATAAAAAAAATTGGCCAATCAAATATTACCAACTGTTTGACCAATCATAGGGACCTTTCAATTTTGTTTTTGTTTTTTTGTTTTTTGATTGCACCTGAGCACATTAATAAAATAAACTATTTAAAAAAATTAGGAATAATATTAACATTTAATAACTTTAATTAATTAAATATTATATTTGATTAAAATGTATGTAAAACGTTCTCAGTTTCATTTTTTCTAAATGACTACTTTGACACTATTGGCACTCCTTAAAAAAATAAAAGAATAGTGATCCTTTAAGTTTAACTTTTACACAACCTAAAAAAGAGCAGGTATGTGTTTTCTAATAGTAGATTACTGATAAAAATAAATACAAAAAAGAGACCTGCAGGACAAAACATGATACATGCAATGCAGTAACAACATCCCTGTTTAAAATAATTTAAATAAAATGAGATGCAGAGGGGATTTTAAGTCCAAAAGAGGCTGTGCATGAAGAATGAAAGAAAAGTTGAGCTTACTTTGGTGATGATGAGCGGCTCGCCGTGCTCCAGTCCTCCTTTCAGGGTAAAGCCCCAAGGCGCGCCCCCGGTCAGCTGGACCTGGATGTGGTGGAAGGAAACGAGCTGCTCCACGGTCTCCATGCCGCTCCTCTCCCAACAACTCGCTCTCTCTGTCGGTGTTTAGCAGCCCAGCGGCGCCGGTAGCGGTCCCTCTGGCCCCTCCATCACCATCTAGCATCAACAACGAATGGATGGGGTGAGGGAACCCAA